CGTGAGTATGGTTTGACGTTGGTTGTTTTCACCGACATATTTCGATAAATGTTGCCTTGCCTGAGTTTCAAGGTGGAGAGCATGTAGAAGCCTTTGTCGGTGTCGGTGCTGGAAATTCCAGGATAGAATACAGAAAAACGCGATCGTAGATCGAACCCCACATATGTGGAATTCTTGATGTTTACCTTGCAGCAAACAGAGAAAAAACGATGTATGATGGCCGCAAGTGCTACGAGTAGTAATCGATTAATCTAATCAGCACCCTTTGCGCTTGAGCTGAAGGGCACAAACAAAAGATCGTGACAACAATAATGCAGCACCCGTAGGACTATTGAGCCATCGGCGTGCTGTCCTACGGGAAGGGCTTCTCCACTGCAATTTTCTCACCGAAGTTTCTGTTTTTCTTCAAATTTTTTAGCGAGCGGCGAGCGGCTGTGTATGTGAAGGAAGTGGCCGACGCTCTGAGCTACTGCCACTCAAAACACGTGATCCACCGCGATCTCAAACCCGAGAACCTTCTGGTCGGTCACAACGGAGAGGTCAGAACAACTTCAGTAGACAAGGTCCCAGTCTTTTGTTTTTTTTAGTTGCGTTCGGCTTGGCGTTCAGGTGGTCGAAACGTTCCACGAATTCTCTATGCTCCGTTTTGGTAGTAACCCGCAAAGCTCAACTCCGATAAGATGTTAGTCAGGACGAACAGCTGATTGTAAAGTACCGGTAAGCGCCTTGCCATAAGGTGTCAATGGGGTGTCGTCCCGTCAGGTACTGTTCTTGTTGATGGTGTGATCACATCTCGGACCACTTGGCCATCACTTTCCTCCTCCGTATTGGTGACACCACGCTCTCACGGCAATAGCTTCTATGCGTCGCCAACACATGGGTGCGACAGACCACCCGAAGTCATTGTTTTTCGAACAGATTGTGATCCCGGAGTGCACCTTGCCCAGCGGGAGCGGTGGTGTTGATGTCAATGTGCGACAGACACCTTGCGACATGTTCTCCCAAGTATTCTTGTGTGCGTCCTCTATAGTACTGGGCGCGCTGGCCTTCTCTTTTCCCACGTTATCCATTGTCATCGCTTCCACTTCCAAAAACCAATGTGCACACCCAGCTGAAGATCGCGGACTTCGGGTGGTCGGTGCACGCCCCGTCCAATAGGCGCCAGACGTTCTGCGGCACCCTCGACTACCTGCCCCCGGAGATGGTGGAGGGGAAGGTGCGTCGTTGCTCAACAATAGTCTATTGAAACGTGTCGTGCAAATCGTGTGCCCATTAAAAGCACATGCAAAAGCCAAGAGCAGAAGCAAAGCCTTCACTTAGCACTTTTGGTTATTATTTGGCTGTTTTGGTGCACCGGCGAAACCCCCCGGAGGATGAAGAGCTGTGGGTGGTAAGAACGGCAAGGAAACCCATTGTTATGACTTTGACGGGCTGCACTCGAGCATTCTCGGTGCTCGGTTCTAATGTCCTGTGTCGATTGCGATATTACCTTGATCAACTCGTGATACCGTGTTCTTTCCCAGAACAGGTAGAGTAGATCTCCATGTGTTGAAAGACGAGGTGGGGGCAACAATTTGTTCGTATTGGGCGGCGCGACGGGCTTGGAAGCGGGGAAACGCTTGCATTGCTTAGTTGGCCGTTCATCACGCACCCCCCCCGAGAAGGTATCTATCTGCCTTGCTGTACGTAGGGCCTTGCTTGTCCATTGGTCTTCCCTGTTTGTACGTTGTGGCCAACATCTGTCTCGACCTACCCGCTCGATCTCTGTGGCTTGGACTGTAGGACCACAACGAGTCCGTGGATATCTGGGCCCTGGGCGTCCTCATGTACGAGCTTCTCGTTGGCACCCCGCCGTTTGATTCCCAGGGCCACAGCGCCACCTACAGGCGGATAATCAGCGTCGACCTCCAGTACCCTGCTGTGAGAACTCCAAGACTTCCTAAACGCAAAATAAAGAGAACTAGATTAGTCCGTTGAATTCGCGTCTGGCTACTCCCACCGTCACAAACTATCCACTTGGTTTGCGCTTAGAGGCGGGAGTCTCATCAACGTCGGCGTTCGCCCGAAGTATTCGCCGTCAAATTGGCGAGATGTTGCTTGTTTTCGTTCAAGACGATATTGGTATCTTCTGGAATACGGCAACAGCATCTTCGAGTTCGGTCTTCGGTATATTGCCATATCTATCTGCTGGTTACGCGTCCGGATGTTGAAACTGTGTGTCGAAATAACCTGTCACTTGCGGTAGACTATACGTCAAGCTGAGCATCTACAAGGTCAGCCTCTATTTCCTTCATACAGTTTCGAAGTAATTGGTTCACACGGGTTGAACAAGTTTTTTAGAAAGTATACATAACCTCACAAAAAGACTGCCCGTTCGAGATACAACCTCAGTCGAAAGGGATGTGGTGAAGTCTTTTCAGTAAGATAATTGAAACCAAGTAGAGACTTGGCTCATTTTGAGTTTGTGTAAGCCTAACACTGAGTTATCGGTAGACTACTACCAGATGGAGCAAATAACAAAAACATTTGTATAGGCGGATACATTATTAATTTTATGTGGAATGTGGCCTTCACATGTAACATGGGGCAGTGTCGTTTGACAACGTACTGTTTTTAGAAAGTACTTCGCTGCTGTTTTAGGCGACTTGAATATAGACTACAGTATATACAGCTGTAGGACTGTTGTACATGCACACGCACCACCATTTTTTTTGAAAAATTTTGGATTTCAAAAGTTGGCGTTGTACTGTAGATTTGAGTGTGGCTGTTTCCCGCTCATTATGCAATCTATCTACAATGGCATGTTGTGCTTCGTGTAGGTGAAACGCGTTGAAGGGGAGGGGGATACATAGGACAGTAGGATAGGAGTGATACTGATTTACAGCAATGGAGTTTAGTCTTTCTTGTGTGTAACGTATCATCGAGGCAAATGAACAGGCGGCGGTCAGCACAGCAGTATGCAGTCAATGTAGGTAGAACTTCCCTGTTTTTCTTCGAACGTTGTGTGTCGAATAGTGTTGTCGAGACCGTTTGCAGCGTGTCTCAGCCATTTTGCAGAGCATCCTTCATGAAGGGCAGTAGCAGCAGCAACGAGTAGTGGTCGATTTTAGTGGATCTTAATACACGACGAAAGGTACACACTCGTTGTATCCAAGTACACGCCTGGGAGTTGGTACGCAGCAGGAGAAGGTGGTATCAGCTGCGAGGTCGATATGGGTGAGCGGCTTCGCCCGAAACTCGATACAGCCTTCCCGCCTTGCCTCAAGTCTTATCGGAGGAGAGCTACGTATGTGGTACCACGGCAGGGATCCGAATGCCGGCTGCTCCGAACAGAATGGGAGGTTGGCGGTAGGGATAAAAGCGTAGGAGTTTTTTGTTTGTTCTCCCATCATTGGACTCTGTCGTCTGCCCCTCTGGCCTCTATCTTGCACTTCTACCAGCTAGACGACCCAACCGGGGTCACATAGGAGGGGGGCGTTGGACCCCCTCCTGCGGTTCCTGCCTGAGGTATTGTTATCGCGACAAGGGTACAGCAATCCCTCCCCTCGCGAAATACGAAATCGATTATGGTTTACTAACAACGAGCTTTGCAGCGCGTCGCTTCCAACGGAGATCAGGATCAAATTAGCGAGAAAGAAGCCACTCTATCGGGAGTGTGCAAAGAGGGCTCCCCTGACCGTCTGCTCAATGCAGATTTGGAGACCATCGACGTGTTGTGTTTTCACCTGGTCAAGTGACGTTGTTTGATGTGAGATTTTGAAATTGATTTTGAAGAAGTTTTCACCTGGTCAGGTGACGTCATTTGATCTGAGATTTGAAAATTTTGCTTCATCAGATTTTTCAAGGGACACTGGGCACTGTGTTCCCCCTTGTGAATGGTTGCTAGGGCAGTTTGTTGCCTTCGTATCCATTGTTTTTCATCCTGGTGTTGGGTGATTGAGTAAGTTATGATCTTTTTCGACTAGGGTTTATTTTTGCACGTTACATTCCTTCCTTCCGGAGAGAATTCTAACAAAACCATTGAGTTCCATTCAACCATCCTCATGCCTCTAATAGTACGTTCAAATCAATCCTCACATCCTGATTGATACCACAGAGTGGCCACCTGCAGATACCTACATCGTTGGTTATCTGTACTTCCATCGGCAAAATACGTCCTATCATGTTGGTCCTACCTCCACTCTTTTTCTTACAGTTAAAAATTGTTTGAACCGCGGTTGCGGAATCTGAAAGAAATGTTTCTCGTGCCTTGGTTTTCGGCGTAGAGTTGACGACGAAGCTTTTCGATACTCATGCAGCAGGGCTGTCTCCATCCACGCTGAACGTTTTTTACAACAGCTACATTGGCCAGGCAATAGCTTGTCGCCCACGCAGCCTTCGTCTGGGTATGAGGTTAACCTCTCATTCTGTCCATATCCTTTCGACGAAATCGTAAGCGGCGATGCAATACTGTGGAAAAAACGTGACATACGCTGGATGAAGCACTCATAGCATTGATCACTATGACTTCAAAGATTTCTCGGCGACGCGCTGTCAAACTAAAGCTGCGTGCATTGTCGGCATGCCTAATGCAGTCAGCCTAGCCTGACCCACGCAATCGCATTCGTTTTTCTCTCTCCTTGTTCCTCGGGCGGCCCACACAGCACGTGTCGTCGGAAGCCCGCGATTTGATTGGCCGGCTCATCCGCAAGAAAGCGTCCGCCCGTCTCCCGCTAGAGATGGTGCCACAGCACCCCTGGATTATCAAATGGACATCTGCATAAGAGTCGCACTTTGGAGCTAAAACCCTCGCCAAGTTTCTTTTCTCTCGTCCGAGATCATGTGCTTGGCCTGGTCACTTCAACGTGATCAAATCACGGCGTATGGGACATACGTAGTGCCTCCGCAGTAACATCCAAGGAGTGTGGAGATTGCATTCAGATTTTCGCGCCCTCAGGATACATATAATCAATTGGAAGCGATTCGAATCGAGTTTGGCATGAAAGTATGAAGGGCCGGTCAAGTCCAGGCATTCTTTAGGCATTCTTTCGGAAGGTCGTTAGAAAATGGTTGCCTTCCGACAAGAATGTCACGTACGTATTGTATTTGATTTTTCATGGCTGAGTAGTGACGTATCTGTGCTGAGACGGGTGCTGTCAACCAGTCGGGATAAAATTGAAGTACAGACTATTGATGTTTGGAAAGACGGCGAAATCAGCGGGAATAGGTAACACGTTGTCGGTACGCAGGGATTGGGCGGCGAGACGGTCACTGTGGGGTTTGTCGTTCTCCGTGGTCTCCTGCTGTATGTGGGTTCAAATGCATGCCGGGGAGGTGGCAGTGTAAATATTGAGGATTGATGATGGTGGGGCGGGAATGGGATGCAGCCTAGTGTATGCGTGCTTGTGAAGTTGAGCGAGAAAACATTCTGTAGTCCGTGCGATGCTTATCGCGGAGCGCTTCATCACGTAAAGTCAGCCAGTCCACAGAAAACAAGCATATTTTTGGTTGTTTCAGGGATGCTGATCAAGGTTGCGGCATGACGCTCCATTGACAAAAGATGCAACACAGTCGCCTCACCTGTAGCCACAGCCGTAGACCGCTACATGAACAGGTGTTTTCGAATGGATGGTGCAACTTTGTCGCGAATGCGTCTGTTTGAAAAACCCTTCACGTAAGCATGAAGCAACATACAGGAGTGGCGTCGTTTCGTCAACTGAACGTACGTGCGCGCGTGAGCGCGTACACGAATATTCATAGTGAAGCCTCGATGCTCTCTATGGTCGGAGCATGGAAAATCCTAGGTGCTTCTCGTGGACCATTCTTGGGCGATCCACAAGGATCCCATCGGTCGCTATGATATATAGGGTGGGGCCGTCCCAAGAGCATGATTGGCGATCCGTGGATCCATCAGGGCGGCCCATAAGACGGTATGGGATTAAATTGACACACGATCCATTTTTGCCAACTTTGTTTTGATCTCATTATTCACGACTACTGTGCTCCATCTGTTGCGTCACAAACCACAGCGAAATGACAAACCCGATTACACCAACCGCCTTCATTCCCATATCGTTCTTTATAATGGTGCTGATATGGACCTGCCGGCAGCTGTTTGCGGTCTACACCACTTATTCATCGGGAGAGACTGTTCTGGTGATATATTAACTTTGCGAGAGGTAGACGACCGTCCTTCACACGAAAGAAAGAGGGAGTGCTCAAAGAGCGGCTACCACAGTAAGGAGGGTCCCCGTGAATAATCGCGGTGCCCCCTACCAAACGGCAATCTTACCAGTCTGCGTGACACCAAGTCATCCAGCACATGTACCCGACACCAATGTTCGCAGCCCCACGAATACCCTCCCTGGTTCTTCACGCAAGTGACGAACCATCAATGGGGCAAGAACGCCCCTGGATACATCAGAAAATACCAGCATTGTAACATATGGAGGGGAAACCCGGCGTCCGGGCAAAACCCCTTGGAAAAAAAACCCTACCACCACAAAAACCGTCGCTATCACAGCGGATCACAACNGTCATCCAGCACATGTACCCGACACCAATGTTCGCAGCCCCACGAATACCCTCCCTGGTTCTTCACGCAAGTGACGAACCATCAATGGGGCAAGAACGCCCCTGGATACATCAGAAAATACCAGCATTGTAACATATGGAGGGGAAACCCGGCGTCCGGGCAAAACCCCTTGGAAAAAAAACCCTACCACCACAAAAACCGTCGCTATCACAGCGGATCACAACGGCCGCACTTATTAGAAATGCCAAGGCGAGGACAAGAACGCGAGGAACTACGTTCCCCCGGACGATGGTCTCCCAACGCCCCCTACTCCTGACATTGGTACACAGACCGCAACAGTTATGCGCCTTTCCCCGCATGGAAAACATGACCTCCCCCAAGTGCTAGAAAATGCTACAGCTACTCCGGCAAATTCATCAACTTGCGCCGGTGGTACTGCAGACTAGCCCTGCTAAGGGCCTTGGTTAGGAGGTCCGCGTGTTGCTCCGTTGTCGGCACGAACCTGACCGAAACGCCCCCCGACCTTAACAATCCGCGGATGAAATGAAATCTCACGTCGATTTGGTTCGTGCGACCTGAGCTGAGGGGGTTCTGCACCAACGCTATGGCCCCCTGGTTGTCCTCAAGGACCTGGATGCTGCTGCCACGGGTCTCTGGGGCAACAATCGAAAGCACAGCACGCACAAACAACGCGTCCTTGACGCCCTCCCCGGCAGCAATGTACTCGGCTTCCGTCGAAGACAAAGACCCGATGCTCTGTGTCTTGCTACCATGGCTGACTGCGGTACCTCCAACCGTCGTCGCCAACCCTGACACCGAACGCTTATCCTCCGTGTCGGATTAGCTAGCGTCTACGTACACGGCCAGCCATAACCCCGATCCCCGTTGTAGGTGATGCCGAGGTCCCTTTCAAGTAGCAGAGGATCTTCTGGATGGCATCCCAGTGCCTCCTCGCCGGGGCGTGGGCGTGGCGCGCTACCGCACGCGCGGCGAACGAGACGTCTGGACGCGAGAACGCTGACACCCACATCATGCTGCCGATGGCCTCCCTCACCGGCCACTCCCCTCCCTTCTCGTCATCTCGCCTCGGTCCTAGGTCGATACCGGGGGAAGCAGGGATGCGGGAGGTCGATTGTACATCAAAGCGTTTCACCATGCTGTCGATGTATGCGGTTTCCGAGATATTAAGAGTCCCAGCCTCCACATCTCTGTCAATGGCACATCTGTCGAACCATTCGCACTCTCCCAGATTTTTTGTGGGGAATTTCTTGTTGAGAGAAGCAAGCAACTCCTTGCAATCCTCGTCAGACCCATCCACCAAAATGATATCCACGTAGATCACGATAATCATCACCACGACCTCGTCTACCATCTAGCGGAAAACACACGGGTCCGCCTTACACTGCTCGAACCCGTTCTCGACTAGCGTATCAGCAGCATGGTACCCCTACTGCCTACCGCTCTGTTTGAGACCCGTGAATCGCACGCTCAGCCTTAACAATCTTATGCGATTTGTCCCCGCACCCAGCGGGGAGCCTCAGAAAAACCTCCTCGTCTCGCGTGGCGTGTGTGTACGCCTGCTTCACATCCCAGTGATTGAGGTTCATGCCCTTCTCGTTTGCTACGGCAAGCATCAGTTCAATGGATGCGGATGATGGGCAGGGGGAAGACGAATGGAAATAATCGACGTTCGGGATTTGCGAAAACCCCTACCAACCAGACGCGCTTTGAACTTTTGTATGTTCCCTTCCTTGTTGGTCTTCCAACTAAAACACCACTTTGAGCTCACAGGCCTGCGCCCCTCTGGCGCGCCGTCTATGAATGAAATCGTCCCCGTGCCCAAGTGCCCTTCAAACTCTTCCGTCATCGCCTGTTCCCACCCCTCTCGGTACACAGACTTGGCAACGCCGGCTACAGTAATGGGTGGGGTCCTACATCACTCGGACGCTTGCCAATGGGGGATTCACTTAGCTCGTGGGACGCCAAAGCCGTCTTGAAGGAGTCTGGCGAGTTGAGCATGAGGTCCACCGCACCCAGCAAAGTCCTCCGCCTCTTGGCGCGCAGGGTGGGCCTCCTCCGCGCGCTCGAACAGCAACTCTCGCACCGCCCTCGCCTCTAGCCCTTCCGCCACGTGAAGTACTGCCGAGAGCATCAAGCTGGTGAACTCCTCCGTGCTGCTGACGGGCAGGCTCGCCACCGAGGCGAGCAGGGCTTCGGCACTCGTCGGCGACGGGGGCGACTCGTACCACGGGTTTCGGCAAAGGTTCTCCCTGGTACGCCGGCTGGTTAGTTCCGCCGGCTTGTCCAAGCGGGCGAGCCGCCGGGCCTCTGGCCCACGGAGCGCCGGGAGATCCGTCTCGCTGTCGCTGCCGCTGCTGCTGTCGCTGCCGCCGTCATCGCCGCTGCTGCCGCCGCTACCGCGGCGGCTGCTGCTGCGTTCGTCGTCCTCGCCGCCGCCCACATCGGCCGTGCCGGTCGACGTGGTAGATGGGGCGACGCTCGCGCCCTCCCTGTTCGAGGGGGCGCCATCGCCAGCGTCGCCCGCGCCCGACTCCTGGG